TTCTTGTATTTAAACAGAATTACATGCCGAATGTGTGTCTCATCGTGTGCCATCACTATAATGGATAAGAGTAAACTAAACTTTACACATTATACAATCTACACTAACGTGACATTTAGGCGGTTCGGTTAACTATTATAGGTGATGTACGTTTTTTTTGGGGGGGGTTAATGAAAGTGTTTCAAAACGCGAAATTAATTTCTTGACGACCTAATATATAGTCCAGCGTACGCACCCTTTGAGGTATTATTCTTAAATTGATTCGCTAATAACAAAGAGATACGTACATGGTACTAATTACGAAGCTTACATTTTGTGTAAAGATGTAGTTAGTAGAAAGGAATGTACATAAAATTAAAAATATGCTAAATATGTTGTGCAATAGCCGTTCTTTATGTATTAATAATCCTTTCAAACTATTGAATTGTATAGAGCGCTCGCTTTCCTAATTTATTATAAAAGCATGAGTGAAAATTGAATATAGCACGTAAGCTACTTATTATTTAACGAAATCTTGACAACTGTATCATATATCTATGCACTGATGCCTTTGTATTTGTTCTTAGGAATATTTCTTCAGGTATTAAGAATCCTTTCAAATTATCGAAGTTTACGTGACACTCGATTTCCTCATCTGAATCTATTAAAGCAGTGTGAGAGAGGATTGGATATAACACTATATCACGTAAGCAAAAACTCAGAGAAAGATTTTAGCAGCGCCCTCAGATAACAGAAACATACTTGTAGTACAATTTGTAATTTCACCTTTTTTTAAAATAAAAATAAAATTTAAATAAAAAACAACACGCTCCCGTGATCGAGTAATGTTAGTCACTTAACTTTGATCAACTTCTTTAGAGACTGCTAAATTAAAATTATATTTATTCTAGATATAAATTAATGAGTCTATAGTAGAAAAAACCAGGACAAAAAATACTGAATGTGTGCCTACATCTTGGAGTCCTTCGTGAGTAAGCTCAATCAGTTTCAGATTTACATCCGAACGAAATCCATATCTGTCAAATTTAATTTCTCCAGTGAGCCCCCTAGCGGTAATCTAAAAACATATGAAACATTGTGACAAAGAATAATTAGAGAGAATCACAAAAGTTATATCTATACAACATACGTTATCTGAAGTTACCACACCACTAACACTTATAGATCTAATAATAAACAAACTGTATTGTTTTTGCTCAGTTGATCCCAGTGTAAGTCTATTAATCAATAGATTTTCATTCATACTCAGTTCATGTCACCTATACAAGGGTTTTAAATTAAAGCAAATTATAAAAACACATCTAGAACAGGACAGCCGTCTTCATGTTAGACAGACAAGTGTCTCGTATTGGTAAATTACAATCAGGAACTAGCGGGGTTTCTAGTTAAGTTGTTAGAATCGATAATTAGAAATGATTAAACTATTAACGATAGTTTTGAGTTTTGTAAAGCTATAAAAATATGAATTTTAACAACAGAATATATTGTTCTAGTTTTGATACAGAGTTCTTTTATATTAACATATCGTTAAATGAGACCATAAATACTAGGGGTGCGTATCTCATCATAGTAGTCGATACGATACGTATCTAGATACAGAAGTTTTACCAACGGTTTGTTAACAAAATTTGACATTATTGTCTGTAATATATTATCTATATTACTAACATTGTCTTATTTAAGTACTTCACACTTTACGGTGCTTTTTCAAATTCTCAGGTTTGATCAATTAAATGGCAGCTGGCAAGAGAAGTAAAATAAAAAAAGTTAATCTCTTTATCTATTTTGTTATTTTTAATTTGCTATGTTACTTTGCATGTAATGTTTTTGATAAAAGAAATGAAGACAAAATGTAGTACTCAATACTTATCATCTATTGAATAATTCATTTTTAAAGAAAATACTCTATTAGAAATTCTGATTTTTTCTGAACAAAATACTTATAATGTTTACTGAAAGCTTGCCAAATTTCGTGGAAACACATAAACCGTATCGTATCGAACGGTGTATGGATACAATCCGCCACACCTTTAATAAATACTGAACTTTTGTATTCTTCCACCAAAGAATCTCAATTTTTATTCGACAATGATAACTATAACCAATCTGATGGTGTTACTATGGGTGTAAGTTAGCTCGATCGCTCACTGATTTGTTCTTATGTCACCATAGATGAATGTCCTTCACAGTTTATGTTATAGAAGACGCGTTGATGGTACCAGAAGCTGAATATGTCGAGAGTTTTTAGAATATCTTAACAGTAGTTTGTTTCTTTGAATTTATGCACAAAGCTACGCGATGCTCTGCCCACCACGGGTATCGAAACCCGGTTTCTAGCGTTGTAAGTACGCAGACATACCGCTGTGCCACTGGGGGCCTTAACAGTAGACATCCTAAAACTAAATTAACTGTTATAGACATCCTGATATTAAATTAACTGTTGAACATCAACAAAACCACCAACTTCCATTCTTAAACATCTTTATTCATAATAAAGATGGCAAATTTGAATGTTAACTTTTTCATAAGAAAAACTTTACTGATTTGTATTTTAATTTTGAGTATGATAGACTAGTTAAAATATTGGTTCATCGGTCATATAAATTACCCAGTAAGTTAGAATTTTTGGACAAAAAAATACAGCAAATATTTAGAAACTTTACAAAAAATACCTTTCCAATAGACATCTTTTTCTTCCACAACCTACCTAATTGGAAGCTTACTGAAAAAAAATTAAACCTGCCATATACAGGAAAACAGGATATTTTGACTAGAAACCAGTTACGTATTGTGTTGAACTGAGATATGAGTTTAAGCCTTTATGCATATTCAAGTATTTATCCAGGTATAAAGATTAAATATCTATCTTCAAAACTTCTAATGTTGTATATGAATATAAATATCCTAAATATTCTTTATGTTATATTGGATCCACCACCAGGTGGTTAATAATTTGCATACAAGAACACGCAACTTTAAGATCCAAGTGGTTTTCAAGTATAAAGAAACATGCGCTGAGTGAATATATAAGTGGAGGACAATTTAAAATCCTCGCAAGCGTAAACAGAAAAAGCATATAAAAGAAAGTTTATAAATTAGTAGGCTTAAGCCGGGATTGGATGAGCAAAACAGTGGAGTTCGTTTACCATCGTAAATTATCAGTTTGATTATTTATTAGAATAGCCGTGAATTCCAAATGTTCACAACTTAATATTACTTAATAATATTAAAAAAAAACAGAACAAGAGAAATAAAGAACTAATGTTGTCACAAAACCAATGAGCTTTGGATTGGAAAGTTACAAGTAATCTTACAATATATGACGATTTATTGTTTGCCAAAATAGTCTAGTTATTAACAGCTTTGAGCCATTTCGCATTGTTTGAAATGAATCGCGATCAATGCTATGATTATATCCTAATCAATTATAAAAAAAAAAACTATATTAATAATAATCCTCACACCACTATTCATGATTAACGTGATTTGTATGTTTAACAAGTCAATATTTCCGTTTCAAAGGAATAATTATGCAGTAGCCATTACCGTTACATTTTTACACAGACATCTACCATGCCTTAGTGTAGGATATTGTAGACAACTAGGAAAAGAACTACGATTTTTTTTTATACTTGAATTGATATGTCTTCAACAAAAACGAGTCCATATGAACGAGCACTGGGTTTGTTGAATAATGACTCAATAAATCGCGAGTCTTTATTTAATATGTTCTTTACAGAATAATTTATTATAATGTTTTTTATAATAGGAGATTACACGAGGAAGCAGCTTAACGTCAATATTGTTTACATATCCAGTTCTTTCAGTTTGTTAGCTAGTTTCAATCAGAAGTAGGAAGTAATTGATTGCTATAAAACTTAGCCTCGACATTTGCCCCTTGTAACCAGTATTTATTAAACACGTCAGTAGACTACGTTTCGAAATATTACTTCAACACTTTATTGTTAATTTTACTTATATTGCACAAAAAACAAACCAAAAAGGAGAATAAATTTTTCGCTGTGTCTAGTAAATACATTGTTGATTATGTTATATTTTTTCACCGTTGCTGTCAGAGAGCTTATATTTGTTTAATATACTGCTGCACTAAGAATGTATTCAGTTTCTTAAAGCTTACGGTTGTTTGGAAATATTTGTTTTTCACTGATTTTTGCTGTTATGTGGGGTCTTGGACATGGCTTACTGGTTAGTGTGCTTGGCTACGAATCAGGAGGTCCAAGGTTCGAGCCGCAATATTCTGCCAAACACGCTCCGCATTTTCAGCTGTGAGACGTTATAACTGAGAAATACAAACTTGCTATTCAGCTAAGAGAAGCCGAATAGGCGGAATATGCTGGTGATTGGCTGTTATTCTTGTAGCACATATCTCATAAGGCGACGTTCAGGTTGAAAATACCAAATATGTTTTTCCCCTTTCCGAGTCGAGAATTTTTTTTTACTTGCTTTGACTTACTCTTGACTAAAACTTTGTTTGTTTGTCTTAGAGCAAAGCCACACTGGGCTATGTACCGTGTCTACTGCGAGGAACTGAACTCCGAATTTTTGCGTTTTAAATCCGTAAACTTACAATTGTCCCACCAGGTGGACCGGTTAAAGCACTACCCACATTTTTGTGAAGTGTTTAGCACTCTTATTTTTTAATACATATTTTGCTATAGAATTTTAATGATTGGTTTAAGTTATATACAAAGCTGTACAATGGGCTATCTGTGCTCTGCCAACCACGGGTATCGAGCAAGCTATAGAGTTAATACTGCTAAGTTTCATCTACTGAAGAACATAAAAAAAACAAAAACAGATCCGTACATTGAATGTTTGAAACGGTCGTTCTAATTTGTGAGAACAAACGCCAACACATATGCTAAGCACAATCAGCATACAAAGCATGCTAATGTTAAAGGGGTCGGGGGGCATGCGACTATTTCAAGCCAAGAAATACTAATGCTTCATCAGAAAAAAAAGGAAGACTGTGTAGAAAACTCTAAATGCCATAAACAGCTGCACAATGATTATATAAACATAATTGTTTTACATCACAAAAATAGGGGGTTCGGTAAACAGCTGCACTATGATTATATAAACATAATTGTTTTACATCACAAAAATAGGGGGTTCGGTAAACAGCTGCACTATTATTATATAAACATAATTGTTTTACATCACAAAAATAGGGGGTTCGGTCGAACCTCCCTGCGTACGTGCGTGAACACACGGCAGTTTTGGATTATACTAATCTATTTAGTCAGTTCATATTAAAATATTATTACTGATGGGACTACCATAAAACTACCATAATGACTTAAGTAAGATTCTACACGCGCTTCGGATAGCGTTAATACTGTGATAAAAACTGATAAGGTCGTGAAGTTTAAAGTTCGATAAAAATAAAGTTTAATATGACAGATAAGAACATCGAGCAGTATTTTCCACTTTTACTAGATGTAGAAAAATAAATAGATGATGGTTGAGCTCGAGGAAACTTTGAATGTGCTGGTGCAATTTTAAGTGTAGTTTAAGCGGGAAGTGATGGGGATAATATTCCATTCTAAAAACGTATGTTTTTAATTTCTTCCTTTTATTAAAGTTCTGTGGAACCCTCCGTTCACCCTATTTGTCATAAACTAATTTATAGAGTCCGCAAACGAAATACGTGTTATAGTTTAATTATGATCATATTGAATAACGTACCCTTTGGCAGACTTTAGATATTAAAACTAAAAACTCAGAGAGTACCGTAAACTTCACGAAACATTTAGTTGAAAATCGTTCTTTATGACTTAAATTGGGTCCAAGATTTCGGTTTTTGAAAACAATGCGAGATTTAAGCAGACATAATAAAAGTTACTGATTCGGGCTCATGTTGTTGAGTTAAAAATAATATTTAAAATTCAAAATTTATTCATTATTTTTATTTCTTGCAAAAATGTAAGAAAATGTAATTTTCAATCACTTACATAATAGTCAGGTACCTAATTTGTGCCTAAATTTTGAAAAAAAAAAGTTATTAGAGGAGACAAGTCCCCTAAACCCCACTCCGACTGGCGTGCAAACTATTAATAGACTGTGTGATCTGTCTATCTTGCTTTCTTGAGGTCTCGCGCTTGCTAAGATCGATGTGCCGCCAAATCCTATCCCCCGTCCAAATCCCATCTTATTTGACATGTCTATGTGCCAAACTCAGTCCCCCGTGGAAATTCTATTCTTGTTCGTAGTTACGTCACACGTATGCGCATTACGGTCCAAGAACTGTTGAGATTGAGGTGACTCAAGCTCTTTGCTACAGCTGCCTGTTTTGTGGAACAAACATTGATATGACTTACGATATTTGTCACACTTGCCTGCAGGACATAGTAACATTAATAACTTACAGGATTTGCTACAACTCTCTGATCCGTGGAACATAACGTTTTATGACTCACTAGCTTTTGCTAGAACTGTTTGATTTGTGAGACATAACGTTGTCACGAGTCAATGCGTTGGCGACAGCTGATTTGTGGGACACACATTGATATGACTATCGGTGTTTGTTATACAGAAAGTTGAGTACATCATATTTAAAAGATTTTGAATATGCAAAATAGAAATTCATGTGACAACCACAGACGGTGTAAAGTCGCAGTGGAACGGAATGTATCAGAACTACATTTTGACATTGTTTGTGTGTTCATAGGTAGTGTGACGTCATCCAAAATTGATAACTTTTGGGAAGGATATGTAACAGTTCATTTACACGAAAAATATTAATACACTCAGATCATAAAGATGTGTTTAGATCGAGGATAGTGGGGTATCAGGACCATCCAGAAAGAGACCTTCAACAAGTCGTACCTTAGCCGTAGTAACAGGTGACAATCCATAAATACAAAGGTCAATGCCATAAGACGTCCACGTGCCACAGGCAACAGTAAACAACATAAAGAAGAAGGACCTCCATTTGGAAAAGTGGCCAAGTCACTTGTGCACAAGTTGCTTCTTCAACATATTCGTTCAATCGTCGCATATCTCAAGCAGCTTGGAAAATGAAACGAATATTCAAGCTATTTCACATGAAGACATAACAGTCACGTTGCCGGACCAGAAATTATGGATTTCTGTGCGATCGAACTGTCGAAACAGGCGCTGGGAAACCATCGTCCGTCTACATTATACGATTTATGGAAAGTTTGCAGGGAGAAAGGGTGTACTTTGAACATGATAGCCTTACGACGGAGCTTTTTGTAACGAAATCTAAACTGCAGGGCTAGTTTCAAGATGCACGGTCCTCAGATTGAGCATGAGTGGACGTGGCTACGTGGACTATAACGACGTGGTGAGGGTCCAAAATCGTTTTAATATAACGCACTCAACATCGGTATGAAATGGTGTTTGCTACAACCATCTGAGTTGTGAGACAACCATGTTTTCGGTTGTTTCAGTCGCAGTTGCACGAACATATACTTTGTAACACCATTAAAACTGATAATTCTCTATAACTTTATTGAGTAATGAAAACAAACTAGAATTTCCTAATAAACCTAAAAATGTGTACATTATTCAGAAATATCGTTATACATTACAGTTATCACAACTAGCCACACCATAGTTGAAGACGCCTTTTTTTTTCTGCAGCCAATCGCAACAAAGAAGTACTGACAATTTGTCTTTGAAGTGCTTCCTTCTTCGACTTTGAAGCATAACTTTTCACAGAAGTACTGAAGAGGAGAATTATACAATTAATGCATACTAAGTTGTGAGAAAACAAATCGTGTGCTTTGGTTTATTTAAGTAACAAATTGCAACTTAATGGAGTCATGGAGGGGTGGAGGGGGTTCAGATACAAGTTGAGAAATTAAATAAAATTAATGAACGAGAGAAATATATTACAGACCTCAATCACACAATGATTTCAAAACCGACTATTTTTATACAACCGACAATAATTATTTTATATATCAGCTATTAGATGGCTTGCATAGAGCATTACCCATAACCGAGTTATTTTCTGAATGTTTACCATGCATGATAATTGCATGGTAGATATGAAAAACAGAACTGAAATTAAGTCTCTGAACTTCACTCACATTTAGTCCAATAATATATATATCTGTTTAAAATAATTACGATATTCAGATTATTTACCAGTCCGTTAACAAATACTTCACAATCGCAATTCGATAAATTTGGATTATTTGATGCTTCACATACGGAATAGTAAATCTTTGGAGTATTTTCAATGTGCTAATTGTGGTGTTTTCTGTTAGCATATCCTTCTTACTACACGTCATTTAATATTAGTTTAGACACACGTCGCACACCGATTCCTTAATTAACACTTGTAAATATCTTAACATAGACAAATAAGAGCGGTTTTTCTTGCTGGTCCTTAGGCCAATTTTCTACAAACTGTTTATTTAACTCCTAATATTAGTAAGAACTGTTTAAACAACGTTCATATAGATATGTCAAAATGAAGCAAAATTTTGTTGCCCTTTTGAGACATATTTGAACATTGATTACGTATATTTCCTAAATACCTATGGTTCATACCATCCGCATGTAGTTTACTATGATATTCCCTTGAGGCCAAGGTTGCTCTGTATCACACGAGATGGCGGGAAAGTAGACGTCTTGTCCTCGTCTGTCAAGTTCGTGTAGGGCAGCTGCAAAAAGCTTGACCGCGTCGTACATCAGCGCCACCTCAGTCTTTTGCATAAAAATGAGAACAAAACAAAATTTCAACGTGAAGAACAATTCTACGAAATAAAAACAACAACAATAACACAAAAAGATTATCTTCAATTACACTACAATATTACAAACAGACACATTTATTTCAAATATAATTCATTACTATGTGCCTCCAGTGGCACAGCGGTATGTCTGCGGACTTAGAACGCTAGAAACTGCGTTTCGATACCCGTGGTAGGCAGAGCATAGATACCCCATTGTGTAGCTTTGTGCTTAATTCCAAACAAACAAACAATAGACACTAACGAGTATTTTGCAAAATAAAGTTTTAGTGGAATATCTGCCATCAATTTGATGAAAACCTTAAAACATATGAAAGCTTAAAAGCAGCTCTAAAGTAAACATGGCAAAATAAAGTAGCCACGTGTAGAGGGCAACAAACAGCAGCAACTGAAAGAGAGCAACGAACAGCTGCTCTCTTCAGAATGAACAGCAGCAACAGGTAAAGAGCAATGGACAGCAGCCAGTTGTAATGGACAACGAACAGCAGTAAGTTGTAATGGGCAACAAACAGCAGCCACGTGTAGAGGGCAACGAACAGTAGCCATTTGTAGAGAGCAAGTAGTGGCAGCTCCAAATAAAAGGCAATAAAGATCCAATTATTTAGAGATCACATATATGGTGTTTTTAGTTCTATTTTACTCACCACAGTAAATCTATATTTATGTAAGATTTAAAGGAAATGTAGCATTGTTATGGAATGTAAATCTATATTTATGTGAGATTTAAAGGAAATGTAGCATTGTTATGGAATGTAAATCTATATTTATGTGAGATTTAAAGGAAATGTAGCATTGTTATGGTATGTAAATCTATATTTATGTGAGATTTAAAGGAAATGTAGCATTGTTATGGTATGAATGCCTTTTGCAGGCAAAGCGTG